GCTCTTGGGGATTACTGGGGTTTTGTTGTAGGGCTGTTGAGCAGGAAAAGCAGCACTTCTTTCCTAAATCTACTCTAGGATCTGAGGTGTCCAGGACCATTCCAAGTGTGTGGATGAATGGCATCTTATACATTGCAGACTTCCCTTCCATGTTCTGTCTCAGCTGCTATTACCATTTGCATTAGAACGAAAAGCCCATGTTAGCTGACACATGAGGACAAGTAGAAGCCCTTAAAGGCAGAGGAGAGGCAAACCTCTCCCTCTTGGCCTTGGTCATGGAAGGACTCCTGTGAGTCACACTTAGGCCTTTTTTTAGCCCTCTCTGGCAAGAGTCACCTTGCCTGCACCTGCTGCTTCTACAAACCATTGCTCATTTGCCAGTCAGCAATGTAAAAGCAGATTCCAGGCGTGGGGAGGTGGCTCTGGTAGAGTGCTTGCCTTGCATGCATGAGGCCCTGGGTTCTATTCCTCAGTACCACATAAACGGAAAAAGCCAAAAGTGGTGCTGTGGCTCAAGTGGTAGAGTGCTAGCCTTGAGTTGAAGAGCTCAGGGACAGCGCCCAGGCCCAGAGTTCAAGCCCCATGGCCGACAAAAATAAATAAAAAAGGCAGATTCCATGCCGATTCAGATTCAGTATGTTCTCTGCATCATATCAAAAGAGAAGCAACAGTCCCTCCTTCTCTTTTGCCCCCATAATCTTAAACTTGGCTAGAGCATGGAATAGAGAAATACCCAGAATAAAGCAAACACATAAAAAAGTAGAGGTATTTCCAAGGAGTTCTTTGTAGGTAAAGGTAAAGGACTCATAGTTTTGGACATGACAAGTAGCTTTCGTGTTCCATATGGCTAGAGTGCATGAATGTGATTAATACAGGAATCCTTTAGATGGGAAGTAAGTCTTCCTTTTTTTTTTTTTCTTTCACAAAGCAGCCTTTCCTGTCCTGAATTAGTTGACATACTTAATAGGCCCTACAAGGCTTGGACCTCAGAAAGTTACAGACTGGACAAGAACTGGTTACTATTATAACTTAAGTCTAATCAATTGAGTTATAAGCCAGTTTGGAGAACTGAACAGAAAGGGGTTTGGCCATCGGAGAAGTACAGAAGTAAGCTCTAGCAGGACTTATGATGGCCATGTCTAGAGTAAGAAATTTTAAGTTCTATGATTTCCTTGGTCAGGTGCTGACTCCTCTTAGCCAAAGGACAAGCTCCTTTCTTAAAAACGTAAGTGGTGGGGCTGGGAAGGTGGCTCAGTGTTAGAGCGCTTGCCTTGCAGGCATGAGGCCCTGGGTTTGA